CCTTACAGCCACCTTCCTTCCGGAAAAGACTTGACATCATCCATCATGGATGCGATTTCGTTGAAGTCGCCTCGCAGAGCGGGGCTCGTCTGCCTCCTAATGGAAGGTGAACTCTGCTGATGACTATTGAGGCCGAACAATGCGTAGCCTGGTCTTTTGGTCCCAAGTGAGCAGAGCAAGCCCCGTCTTTCGATTTGACATGGTCACCTTGACAACCGGACCCTGTTCCACCTGATGGGCGAGACAAGCGTTCGGGTCGAGTAGGTCCCAAAAGTAGATAACCGAGTCTTTGCAACCGCTGATGACGAGGCGACCGCTCGAGGAGACGGCCAAATCACAGACGCCAGGTAGAGTGGAGAATTTCACCTTCTCCTCACTTCCGACCGTCTCCTCGTTGAGGCTGACGCCACTGGCCATGCTCATTCGAGTTGCCGTCTTCGCCTCACCTGCGCCGGCCGACTCGGCCTCGGTCGTTCGGTAGGTCAGATTGGCCCGATTCATATCGGCCAGACGGTAGGGCTTGCTGTACCGACAGAGAGGACTGTCGAGTCGGAGGTCGTAGAGATTGACGAAGGTGTCCTCACTGCCAGAGACGAAACAGTTGCCCGCCGGCAGAGCACGTATGCAGGTCACGTCCGACTCGTGGCCCGAGAAGATGCCAACAAGCGAGTTGGCCTGACGACGGTCGAATTGACGAATCAAACTGTCACTGCTCCCCGTCAAAAAGGTGGCCGCATCCTCACGTAGGCTTTCCACACATTGAATGTCGGTCCGTGGATGCGGAAAATGCTGCAACTGTTTCACCTTTTCCACGTCCCACACGATTGCACCGTCTGTGTCGGCTCCGGTGAGTATGTGCGTCCGGCCGATGCAGTAGATGAAACTGATCTTGCCCGAGTGCTCGTAGACCACATTGGTCGTGTACTCTGAATAGCCGTCGTCAGGCAGTCGGTGTCTGTGCGTCAGGCAGACGACGGTTGAACTGAGTCCACCCGCAAACAACAGGTCCATGTCGGCGACTATGGCGGCCGTGAGAGGCTGGAAACCGGTGGCGTCGACCGTGTTGTGGATGAGGCCTTTCATAGTGTCCCAGATGATGATACAGTTGTCGGCGCCCACGGAGATGAGATAGTTGTCCTCGGGCGACCAGATGACATCGTGGATGCGGGAGTTGTGTGCTCGCAGATTGTGCACCGTCACCAGAGATGGCACGTCTGCCAGTCTCTCGATCTCCTGATTCATCACATACTTGGCGAGTGTCGTGTCTCTGAAGGTTTTGCGTACATTAGCCAGGTTGGTTCGCAGGTCCATCACCTCCTGAAGCAGTCGCCATTCGGGGTTAGGATGTTGGGGCTCTCGGGCCACGGGCATGTCGAGGCGGTCGACGGTGGAACGAATGAAAAGAGAACACCGCAAGCGGCATAAGTCGGCGCCGTCGACTAAACCCACCGGTTCGAGTGAAATTATCGCATCGATCGTCAACGCGGTTCCACTGGTTCGGCTCCCTTTCACCTCATCCACTTTTCCCTCGCCCACCTCGATGGCCCAGAGAAAAAGTGGGCCTATTGAGACATTAGTTTGTGCCACAGAAATAAAGAAATCCTACACATAAGAAGAGTGTCTCATCATTCGGTGAGCAGTAGTATGGGTGAAGAAACTGTATTTTATTATTTATTTACAGAGAAGATGGGACTTTCACGGAAGGCCGATCCACTTGGGCTTATTCTAAATTTTGTTTTGAGACTATCAGTAAATCAGTAATATGAGATGTATTCACACAATTTTGTTTAAGGTGATGAACGACTGGTAGAATAAGAATTTTCCCACAATGATATGAGTTGAGCTGATGTTTTCATTGAATTTCACATAGCCTTGCTTTCCCA